AAATGCATAGAGAACTGAGTGAAAGATTACTAGAAATATTAATAGAATTATTAATAGAAATATCATTCGAGGAAATTTTATTCAATGATGTATTATTATATATTTTTCTAAGATGCTATAATCAAATCCATGTATATATGTGTATGTATTTAATATTGTTGGGACAAAACTCGACTAAATTCTTATTAATAAATTAATAAAAACGAACTTTGGCATTTTTATTTCACGATCCTTGACCGAATGATTAATTTTGGAACTAATTATCACTCCTTTCTTTCAATAGTTCAATTTCAATGTACATGCAAATGAATGTTAAGATGAATTAAGAATAATATACGATTTAAGGAAATTAGTATCGGATCGGATCTGTACAAAATACACTCCGATTTGACGTTTTTAACAGGACACAGTAGAACACACTTTGACGCATGCTACAGCATTTTGATCTAGTATTGTTGTGAGCTTATAGCAGGATCTACTATGCCATGATAGGAAAACAAAACGTGACGAAAAATCCGCATGGGACGTGTCAGCACATTGTAAGGCCAACGTTACCATTAACACATGGTTCCGGATCGACGAATCGAACTTTGTGAAAAAGAAAACTGGGAAACTGTACATATGACGAGAGTCGTACGCGCGTGCCGCGGCTAACGCAATTTGGTCTGCACGTGACTGTGCACGCGATAAAAGAGCTGCGTTGCCAAAGAGTACATGAAAATAGAAGCACGGCAACTATCCTAGTTTCTCTCACGCGGTCGTGCCGATGCAACTATTTCCGGAAAAATGTAACGTAACAAGCACGTATGTACATATAATACAATGAGTACACCGCGGGTTTCCATGCAAAGTAAAACTTCTAAAGTGTCGATTTATAAAATGGAACATAAATTAGTATTTCTTTTATCATTCAAAAATAATCACGTGCTCTTATGGATACACGTAGTGCATGTTCTCACACTACACGCATTATTCATATTTTTTATATTCGATCAGCGTGAAAATTCTTAAAGACGAGTCAGGCATCGTCGTACTTCGACATCGATGTTCACTTCAGCATTATGTTATACGTATACGTATTGGAAGATAGTACCCTCGTGAGACATATAAGTCTCAGACACCGTTGATTTAGGTTGATCTATGCATGAGAGTAGTTTTTCAATGTCGAGAAAGAAAAATTCATTTTCGTTACGTTATCGTGTACGAGTTTCGAAAGGACCTAAGGATTGGAATTATAAAAAAGAACCCAGTGATCAATTTTCTAGAAATGTATTGAATTGCAAACTAAATAATTGCGGACTTTGTTGATAGATTTCTTATTTAAAATCCGCAATCACTTAGTTGCCAACCTAATATAAAATATGGGTAATCTTAATAAGATTTTACTTTCTAACTCACGTGTACATAGTTATTGACAAAATGTTTCAAATATATTTAATAAAAGAATTTCTAACACTTGCATTAACCCTTTGAACTTCAAGTTCGTTTACCATGAATGGACTAACAATTCTACAGCGTTTTCAAAGAAAATATAAAAGAAAGAGATATATATAGTGATCTGCACAACAGTAACAAACCGTATCTTTGTTCTGATTAAAGTTAGGAAGAAATGTTGGAGGAAAGTGATGAATGTTCTGGAAATTCGATTTCGAGCACGCTGCAATTGTGCCATCACGTAGTATCTTGTTACTCCGTAGCTTTTTCGCCCTTCTGTTCCCGAAAACAAGAGATACGTTGGAGTACTGAATGAAGGTTCGCTCCCCCTTGTAATTGCTTTTTGCTTCTTTGTTTGAACACGGTCACTTGAATTCATTCACCCGGCTAGCGATTGTTTCTTTCTTTCTACGTATGTAAAAAACTGATAAAATATTATAGAAAACAAATTAATAAAAGTTATATTAAGACGGTTCTCCACTCCGTAGCCAATTAAATATGTATAAGAAAAGGTTACGAAAATGTTTTTAAAAAGTTTACCTCCTGCATAGGAAATTTGTATTCTTAGAATTTTATTTCAACAAGTTTTCATTTCAAATAATTGTTAAAACTGCAAATTAATATTAACAAACAAGCGTTCGTCTGATAGGCTCTGCTCGGTCGAGCAAAAAGCAATCAGCACCGTGACGATACGATAGAATTGCAGCGGTCCTTTTTCCATCGCGTCGCGAATTTCAACCAATAATAACTCGCTTCGCGCGTAATTGACATCGGCACGGGTTCTATCACAATTAGAAAATGCGCGCGTCACGAGCAGTGTGTAATTAGTCGGTATAATTAAAAGGTGTATAACCGGCGCGACGTTGGAAGGTACGAGCAAGTTTCCTGATCGAGAAATAATCGCATCGATGCCAGCCGAGGTAGATTTTATGATTCTCATTGAATTTATTATAATTGACTGTCACGTTGCTGAATACGTGTTTCGTACTCATTCAGCGAATTGATTTATAAATTACTGTTATTATTAGAGAGACAGAGATGCTTAATTCTATGGGCATATAACATGTTCATGTAACATAATAAAAATGTTTCATTTGTGTACACGTTATAATTCATAATCCTCAGTGTAATTGGCTCATTTTCGTAGTTGCGTAAGGGTGAAATTAATTGTACTCCTGGTAGATCGTTAAATTGGAGATCAGTGATTTTGACGTACTCGAAATTTAATTAAATACGCCTTTTTTAATAGGATAACCTGTTTATTAAATTCTGTGAATAGCTATCGTTTAACGGGTAGCGTGTTTATTAAATTCTTTGCGTAACTATCGTTTATCAAAGACTCTTATGTACTTGTATTTTATTACAAAATTTCATGCTCCAGCAAATTTATTCTTTTGCATGATGAAATTGCAATATCATCGTCGTTCAAAGAGTCCCTTAGCTTCCGTTTATCTTAACTGGAAAAGCATTCCAGTCGTGACATTAATATGTTGAATTTACGAGGAATGTCTATTATGTTTGTTCCATTGTGCACGTTTCTTATTTATTATGTATAATAAATTTTGACCATCAATTAAAATGATCTATTTTAATTAATAGACTGCAGTAAATCATGAATAGCTCCAATAAAGTTTCAAATGAAGGAATGTAAACAATTTTCGTGTAAATATATAACAAATTTAATTATTCAATTAAGAGTAAAAATAATTTAGGAAACAGCAAACATATTCCCGTTCCTGATCAGATTAGTGTCAAGAAATGTAATAAAACATTCAGTTAATTTCCGTCTCTTGAAATATTTACTCGATTTAATGGGTTTACACGTTATATGTATATAATTCTCGCGGCACGTGAAAACGGTGGTAATAGAATTACAGAACTTTTGGTTCATTAAGAGAATGTAACTACAAAATTCATTTTTCCAACTGTGATAGTCGCTCAGAATTTCGACTTCGTGCATTTCTCATCGGATAACTCGTGCCGGGAAGTTAGTTCCTTTACTTTACCTGATTATCTTTCCCACTTGTCACGGAACTAGCATAATAAAGTTAAAGGACTTCTGAAATTCCCGAGACATTAGTTTCGCATAGTACAGCGCTCGTTTAACGTTCTAACAAACCACGGGACATTAATTACTTTCTCTCATACAAAAATATTTTCATTCCCGATCCACGCAGCTGTTATTCTATTCCAAATAGTGAAACCCAGTTGCAGTAAATGGCTTTGCAAATATCAATGTGTTCATTAACGTAAATTATGCATTCAGCATTGAACGTGAGGCAAATTAATTGAACAACTAATTTCTATATGCATGCGTTTATTATTACGTGTTTGTAAAGTTAATTCTTATAATTTTTAATATATCATAATATATAATAAATCATAATTATAATTTTTTTATGATCGATTATTTATATTTAATGATCAGAAATTAATTATTTCCACGATACACAATATTATAGTGGTTTAGTTTAGACATCTAATTCTTCTCCCTTGAGAATAATTCCGACTAGCAAAACAAGTAATCTGTACAACGGGGAAACGGAAAAACATGCTCCTGAACCTTTTAGTAACAAACAACGATATATCGTTTTTGGCTACGCTTGTGGCGAAGAGTGCCAACGACGACGATATATGAATGCATTGGCACGTGTGTTTTGCCGGAGACTTAAACTAACATTTTACGAATACAAACGGATTAAATGTTGAAATAAAACAAAGTTCGCCACGATCACTTCATATATTTCCAGTGACTCAAAACAGAAAGAATGGACGTCATATTTTTGCAAAATTATTATATAAATGAGAAAAATCGATATTACGTCCTATGTCGATCGGATATTTTTTTGTCTCTCTTTAAAATCTTCCACCCATCGTCGATACTTCGTGTATAGATGAAAGTATAATAACTTCTTTACCTGGATTTACACTATATCCGATTATAAACTATACAGTCGAAAGTCGCGCGGCTGTTAAAATGCAAGGGAATTTGGCCGACGGATATTTTTCACTCGGATACTTGTAAAGTTTCACGTTTTACGACGGAGACTGTCGAGGTACATGAAATCGTTCCAGCAATTCTATTTACGCTTCATTCATCCGTGGCATCTATAAAACACTAGGATCGCCGGCCAAGCCTCGCAATGTTTACAGCTCCGACGGAAAACTTTCCAAGCCAGTAACCTCACCCCGTGCGTTCAACTTTGTTTGAACTGGTTTGATTTAATTTCCGGCTGCCGCGTCACGCGAGCTCCGTTACAATGGGGCGACTAGAAACTTGCTACATCCTAGATGCTCCAATGGAAACTTTTCTAACAGCACTTTAATGATGATGAAATTCTAGTCCGTCTTGTCTTGTTATCCATTAAACAGGTTTTACGTATTTAGAGAAAAGGTCGACTCGGAAAAAAAAAAAGAACAGAGTAAATCCATGTGGCATGGGAATGAAAATAATAAATATTCAAGGAGTGAAGGCGCTGCTGCGATGATGAAATTGTTTGGTGTTTCGTTGGACTCTTCTTCATTTACGTATTTATTATATTCATTGAAATGAATGCTAGACAGTGTAAAAGGGAACATCTCTTGTTTCTTTATTAGGTCCACCTTCTTTACAACTTATTTACAACGTTTATTATACTTCGTTACGCGCATACAACTTGAATCGTTAATGAAAACATGGAGAAATCGAACGAATTCAATTGTTCACGTCACAGACCGTATTTACATTTAATCCATTTCTGAAAACAGTGCATACGCAAATTAACGTTTCGTTTGATAAAATTTAACACGATAACATTTTTCTCTTACGAAATCAAAGGAACTTTTACTAATAATTTGTAGCAAATGATTTATCTTTATATACGTTAGGCCTAGTTCAAATACACAGACGCGGACTTTGATTAGGATTACCATTTATAAAATTATTAATTTCCAAATGGAGAGCATTGGAATCCCGGACTTACCTTCTGGAATTCGGTTATATTTAATTACCTCGAGACTAGACACGATATCACAAATTACTATTATAATTCTAATTAAGGAGTCACGTACCTTCGAGCTATCAAACAACAGGGAAAATTTTAACATGTCTTGCACTTGCAACTAAAAATACCTGTGCTAAATTAAATGAACTTATCTAAGCCGATTTTTAGCTGCTTCCAATTTTTAAAAATAAGAATGAACTCGTGTCACGAAATGGCAAGGAAGTATTTGTCAGGACCGAATATAATTATTTCGGGACATCTAATAATCGATATAGAAATATAGAAGACCAATAATTCTACGGAGACTTAAATGGAAATTTGAGAAAGCACTCTAAAAGAAAATACTATTCTTGACCCTATCAAAGGTACGTGTCTTCCTAAGGAATAAGGAGAAACTATTATCCTGCAATATAACGTATAAAATACCAATTTCGAAACATAAATAGAAATCCACATCATTACAGAGAAATCCCACGGACGTCCCAAAAATCAGGACAAATCCGGGGAAACTCGGACAGTTGACACCCTTATCTTAATGCGCACAGTTTGGATTTCTTCGTTCGACCAAGTATATTCCTCTTTCCTATTCTAAATCACAAAAGATATCTTACTAATAAAATTAAAAACTAATACTGCTTCATGGAATTGTTAATAAAAACGATTTATAATTCTGTCAATAAATTAAAATCATCGGTTCGATTATTTGGTACTTATCTTCTTAAACAGTCGGGATTGTTCTAACTTCTTTTTTACCCTTCATTCTGTATAGACACCTATAATATTTTCCATTTTGCTGTTAACACGTACGATGAATTATTCAGTAGTTCACTTCCTCAAACAGAAATGTTATACCTCGATACTTTTCGTCCATTGCATCTTTCGACACTATACATATACTATCACAACTATTTACACATATTAAAATAATTGCACATTCAAGTTACGTATAATCAATATATCCACACAGCCTCCATTTCTTCGGTTCCTCGTCGTATATTTATAGGCATTCATATTTATATTTATATATATATTATATATTATCCTCCGTACGTTGCGTATAAATTACCATACATCTTATTCGTTTAAATACTTTAAACAATGTAGTACGAATCTGGCGTAACACGAAGAGTAACAAACACAGTCTATAATATTCGATTCAAACTGTAATATATACGATCAAATATATTGAACATTATTTACAGCTTCGCAAAGAATTCTGTCTTTCATTACCAATTCTTTGGTTTCCAACTGCACCGACTTGTCACAATAAATTTGAAATTTAATGTTACACGGTACAAACACTTGACTAGTACAATGTCTTTACATGCTCTGCGACGCAGTGCACGCTTGTATCCAATATGACGGACATGTTTCCCTGTCATTTTAACTGATGCTACGTTTCACGTACGCGCAAAGTCTTTCGATCAGTTTCTTTTAGATGCGTTATGACACAATAGTTTTATGCGTTGCCAGTTTTTAACTGCGTTTGGGTCTTAGGTTGTTCGCTGAAATCAAATCGTTTTGGAATCAATGCAAACTTCTGTATGCAAGATATCCGTTACACAAGTTATTAATACGAGTTCATTCGTATTTTGCCTTCAAGCTGTTATAGTGAAAGTTGTCTGCCGTTTATGGAAATGTTTCTTAAATATTTATAGTAAAAGTTTATTAGTAGTTCTCTTGATCAAAGCATGCTTAATTGACAAATCTTATTCTTTATATTAAAAAAATTGTATAATACAAATTATTTTAATTTATTGGAAAAAAAAGCACGATTATTGAAATCTTTTCTTTTTCAAGTATTGAAGCGAAGAATTTACTTACCTAATAATTACGCGATTAATTGAACGAGTTGATCAGCGTTGCGTGTATTATGACTAGCAGGACGCTAACTGACAATCGTCCAGCGAAATTTCCTGGAATCAAATCCAGATCCACAATGAAGTATTAAAAGGGAAAATATTTTTTTCAGCGTTCTTTTTTACGCAAGCGATATGGACATGGAACTGCATGCTTTTCGTAGTCAGGAAAGTCTCATTTTCAGTGAAGCCAGAATTTTTTTAAATGTAAAAATTTAAACGTGAAATTTTTGTAACGCGATCCAACCACACTCTGTAATTCGTAGTGACTTAAATAATATTTTTGAAACGCGTCTATTAAATAACACGCTTTTGACGGAAGTTTCATTAAAAACGTGTTTCAACGTGTTAGATAACAACCGATTATCATTGATAACATTTTTCGCACAATTTTTGCTTCATCCTTAGTGTCAATCTAAGTTATCCTGCCCCCTGATGAGTTTCCCCTTAGGGCGGGGAAGTTAAACTTTGCTTGATGTAAAACTTTTAGTCAATTTAGATAAGATTTATCGCGTATTTTAATTATCTATCCTCATCTTACTTGGCAAATTAAAATACTCTTATTATCCCGGGGAATAGTTGAGCGTAAATTTTAAATGAATATATTAGTTAAAATTTTTTTCATGAAAGCAAATATGATGTACCACATATTTCAAATGAAAAGTTTAATTAAAATTTTTCTGTTTCAGTTCTCGCACACGATAAATTCAGTTTAATTTACACAATTTCCGTTTCAGTAGAAACGGTTTTGATCACACAAAAGTTCATAGACTTCCTTTTTCGAAGGGGAATAAAACTGCCATCAGGAAATGAGAAACCCAATAAAGACGATATTGCGCCAGTAAAATTAATTAACGAAATTGAATAAACCCCACTGGAGGTAACTTCTTCCACATTACAAATTTATTAACAATTTAAGAATAAAAAAGAAAACGTAGTGTTTTCCTCCTGGATTTCTTCGAAGGCCAGACGAAGAACGGAAGACGTGGAGAGTGACGATTTAATATCAGAAACGGGAAGGAAAACTGGGTCCGGGCAGAAGCAAGTGCTGACTAGTAAGACCGATTTAACCCTGGTGTGTAATTCAACCCTTTCGTTCCAGTGAAAGACGGAGGTGTGGTCACGAGTCGCAATCGGAGAACGACGAGCTGAAAAGCCTTCTTCGGTCCGGAGATGATAACAAGGAAGGCAAAAGGAAGAGAGGCACTCGCGGCTGCAAGTTTCGCCGCAAAATATCCGGGTGGTAAGCGCGATGCACGTGCCAGGAACCTGTCCATTACTTGACCCTTCGACGCGGGCTGCCCTCTTAGGACTTTGCCCTTTGAACCCGACACTGCCAGGATGTCGCTTTCGTGAGATCACACGTTAATAGGATAATAGGAGTATGAGTTTAGCAAGCTGAAACAGTGCACTCTTGACGACTCCCAGTAGTGTTGTTAGCTATTGTACCCTGGGCGATGATTAAGGACAGGAGTTCCTGGATTTTGCAGGATTTCTTATGGCCAGAATTGTAGAGAATTACAACGAGTGGAGTTGTACAAATAACGTAGACTACTTTCTTGTATTTATCAAGAGAAAATTAAATGTTAAATGTCGAAACAACGAAAACCTCACGTGGTTAATTGTTTGGAACAAAAATGAAAAAGTCAAAAATTAATTTCCTTCGTTAAGACTCCGGTCATTAGCAATGTATTCCTAATTGTTTGCATATTATCCACTAAACGTAAATCTTTTAACATTTAATAAATAATTAAATTGCCTGGTCCAATATTAAAATAGTTTTTAAATATCCGAATATTGATGCGAATCCCTATATGTACATATTTGCGCTCATTAACGTAATCATGTATCGATTTCGCTTTCAACTGCACGTTCATGCCATCCTCCAGCACGATATGGGAAGATCGAAGGCAAAACGCTTCCGGTCGCGTGCGACAGAGAAAGATAGAGGAGGGCAGCATGCAGATAGAGAGACTAAGATAGATAGGATAGATTAAGATACGTTTATACTAACTGGGGTAGTAGATGACTTTGTGGGAGACGTTGTAGTTCGCCTTCGGTATACCGAGCAGGCATTTGACAATCGCTGCTTCCGGCAAATCCTCGTCCAGTAACGCCGTCCTTGATAAGATATCGTACAGTCCATCCTCGCGCGACGTAACGGTAGACTTCACTGGTTGTTTTTCTGGAAGATCTCTGAAACGAGAGCGACGTTCACAAAATTATCATGACCATCGAACTGGGGCATCACGCAAATATATTATTTAAAGAATAATCTTTTTTTAAATATTTTTAAAATTATTCATAGACTCCGAAGCAACCTTTTAGTAAATACATTTTCTTTTAATTTTTCAGACACTTTTCTTAACTATATATACTTCTTTGCCACGTTTTCAGTTCGAATGCAGATACACAGTTTTCATATTTAATGTACATGAAGATGAACTATTTCTGGGCTGCCTGGCAACGATAACTTGATCTATGCGTATGTCGTAGATACGCCCTTCCAATTCAGAATTATGCCAAGAGGTTTATCGTTGAGAAGCTTCCTAAGGTACTTACTCAATTGATATATCCAGAGTAGGTTGCGGATACAGTCCTTCTGCCATACACGTTATCTCCACGCCGTCCTTGTCGTCTATGGTTTTCTTTTTGTATGCAAGATTGAATTTATCCTCCGTCGCTGGAACAAAAATTCGTCGTTCAAATATTAGTATTAAAAGTTAAGTGTTTCTAATGAGTAACGAGTAAATCCTAAAACCATTACTCTATTCGTTATCATTATATTATTTTATCGATTTTGCGATTTTTATATTTCCTACAAATACGACGTTTTTTTGAACGAATAGAATCCGTAGTCCAGCGACGTTCATTAATCAAAGATAAAATCAGTGCGTAAAGAGTAGTTAATCATAAAGTCGAGAGAACAAGAGGAGCCTTCAAGGGAAAACGTGAAAGAGATATTAATTTCGCAGGATTACGTATCTCAGCTGGCAACTCTCAGATGGTTTCAAGTATATTTCAGGGAGAAGTTTTCTTGGCTAGCCACGTTCCCTTCAGCGAAAGCGGCTTAGCTTTCGTGTGGAGATGGAAGTTCGAAAAAGAGAAAAGGAACAAAGTTGTACCGCAACTTGTACCACCTCAACGAAGAAAAAAACAACTTAAGACATTTTAAACCGTGGCTTTGCTCCAGAAACGAGGCACGAGGAGGAAGCATTAAAATGCTCGAAACTTTCAATGCACGGGTTAAACGCGCACTTTTTACCAGTTGATACAAAAGAGAAAGTGGACGAGTAATTGTATTATATATGTTTTACTTAATAGAAAAGTAAACTTGTTATTGGCTCTTCAGATAATCAAAAGTCGTACTTTTAATACTTTTAATTGCGATTATAAATAATCATTAAATTATATTATGTGTTAGTCTGAATTTAATGTTCTTCATTATTGATAGAATAAAAAAAAACTAATTTATCATTACAGTAAAATTTTTATATATAAAATAGATCCTTTACAATCCATAACATGTAATTTCCTTTTAATATTTTATATATTGCACGAACTTTTTTTTATACTTTTTGCGTTTAGAACTTCCGCATAAATGCACAAAAACTGGCGGTCTATTTATCATGGTTCATGTCCAATAATCAATCTACCTCTGATATTTGATACTGGCTGGACGAGTAGACTATATTCAAGATGAAACGATATCGGAAACTGGGATATCCGTTTCTCTACTACCACAGGTTCCTAAATTATCCCGCAAGTTTTGAAGATCTTTTCACGAATGAGAGAAAATAAAATAACGTAAGTCTATAATTTGACGATCCCGAAGTAGTTTAGGATCAAAATAATCTCATCTCATTCCATGTCCCAGTTTATTCATCCTTTGCAATTAAAAACGAAATTTGGGTCGCCGTCACCCCGGGTGACCGTTGAGAGTTAATCGACTTCCATAAATATCTCATTTTACATAAAGTAATCTAGCTATCCGGTCCTATGCATAAAAACTATGTAGACCCGTATAATTCGTGTCATTCTCTACTGATAATATTCTACTAGCCCAGAGCACGTGACCTAATATGTAGCACGATTCCATTTTCGAACATTTCAAACCGTTCTTCCAGGAACAATCGCTCCCTCGGGTAGGAGGAGGAAAGGAACACTCTGACTGAACGCTACCAGTGGAAGATCTCAATTTCATATAGCTTAAAGAAAAGTATCGAAGTAATCCGCGGATTATATTAATAATCTTGGCCGAGAAAATTGATATTTTGTACCGCATAGCCGAAGACGATATTACTATGATCTAGTGTTTAGCAGTGCAGCTGAGTCAGCTGGTTAAACGAGAAGGTAGAGAGAATTTAATCGCCTGCTTATTGATTTGAAATCGTAATATACATTATAGTATAATGTATTATGTTAATTTACTGTACATATATAATAGTAAATAATATATTAATACAATTACTGTCATTATTTTATATAAAAAAAATTATATTCTTTA